CCAGGGGCTCGGGGAACCGGTCACACGTGGGACTGGCCCGCCCTGCCGAGCTGACCCGTGCGCGAGCTGTGGTGTGTGCCACTCAGCAGGCAGGCCGGGGCCCTGGCTAATCTCGCAGTGCTGGGCCAGGCAGAGAAAGGAAGGGAAGGGACCTCTGCGTGGGGTTTCCCTAGGGATTCTTACAGCATGCCCAACTCAGATGAAGCCTGGTATCCCTAAATGTCTGCCTCTCCTGCCTGGCTTTCCGCTTCCCTCCATCAAGCGACGGCTGGACTTCAGCTGGCAGGTGTGGGACAGACAGGAGAGAACCCGGCTTGGTCTCCCAAGCACTAGCCTAGCTCCGGCGGCTCTGACCCCGGCTCGGCACTATCACAAGGAAGCAGCCATGCTGAGTAAATCGATGCCAGTCACACGTGCGAACCTCGCTTTAATGTGGCTTTGGCAGCGCCCTGCACTTACAGCGCACTCGAGCACGGTGGCAGAGAGCAGTCCTCTGGCTGGCCACACGCAGGAAGCGACCCAGGCTGGCGCTGCTGTCTCACAGTTGGCTTAGCCCCAGAGGGGTACCAGGCGCGAAGTACAGAGAGCGTCAGCTGGACAGGCCCACGGGGGCCCTTTCCCTGGCCAACAGCAAAGGGTTCTAGTGCAGGAACTTTCGAAGGGTCATCTCTGCAAGGAGAAATGCATCCACTTCACCCTGGGCTACCCGGTGCCCCCCGAGTGCGGATCCTAGCGGCAGCATCCTTACTGCGTGGTGCTGACTGCGCCAGGCGCGCACTGCCCATCCACTGACTGCAGCCTGCGTCCTAGAACAGACCAGGGCTTGGCTCTCATCTCTCAGCCTTGACGGGCCCCAGAGCCTCCACGGTATTCCAGCACCTACCGCCAGACACCCACGTGCCGGAGCAAACCGAGTAGCCAGTCTGCATTGAAGCCCTCTTCCCACGGCCTGGGCTGATGCCTCCCTCTGGAAGGCTAGCCCCGCCTCCCTCCCCCTGCCGGCTGTAACCTTTTGGGCTGGCAGCTGGGGGGCAGGGGGCAGGGTTCCCTACAAGCAGAGCGCTGGGGCGGCCGCCCAGCTGATTGGCAGAGCGCCCCCAGCCGGCAGCAGGTGTTCCTGTTCCTGTGCACAGACCGATTTATTCTGCATGTGGAGGGAAACTGAGGGAACACGTTGGCAGGGGGGTA